TCTCCTTTTTATTTTCAAAGTATTTTGAAACAGTTTGGAGACATCGTTTTTTTGGAGCGGTTTTTTGGGAGAAGAGGAAAAACTTTGCGTTTTTTTCCTCTTTTATTCCAATAACAACACAAACACAGGATGACAGCGCAGACAGACTTGATATTCTCAGGATTTAGCAAAGATCGGACTACCGAATGCGCATATGAATAGTAAAGTAGAAAGATTCGACTTAGGTGTCATGTACAAAAAGACATTTTACGGTGCAGTTTCCGTGTTTCATCCCTTAGCTGTAAACATAGACCGGACTATGCATGAAATCTGATCAGAAATCTGATTTTCTGACTGGACTATGAAATTTGATTTTTTCAGGTGTCATACCAGTACTGACAACAAAACGGGTCTACTGGAAAGGAGTTCTGGAAGAACTGCTGTGGTTTATCAGGGGCGATACGAATGCAAAGCATTTGTCTGACAAAGGTGTTAAGATTTGGGATGCAAATGGGTCACGGCAGTTCCTGGACAAACTTGGCTTCACGGACCGCCAAGAAGGCGACTTAGGACCAGTTTATGGCTTCCAGGTATTAATGCACTCCCATCACTATAATAATTCCATAAAATTTTAAAAATCATTTCCGATTGCGTTAAATTCTACTTTGAAAGTAACGTGACAGTATTTGAAACCTTTACGGACGTCATATTCTTTTGTTCGTTGTCAGGATCAGATTTTTAATGTGAACAAATCGTGATAAATAAGCCACGACACCGGAATACAGTTTTTGTGCGTTTTTGCATATATACAAACTGCAAAAACGCATACTGACGAGAGGCTCTCTGTGTGTGTCTGTGTGTTCGCACTTTTTGACACCCACTTTCAATTCGAGAACCAGAAAAGCTAGAAGGCTGAAATTTCAGGAGAATGTCTCCTGCCCACGCGCAATTTAAAGTTTTCAAATTCAGCTTCCCAAGTACCTCGGATACTCACGTGCGGGCGTGTGAAAGTTTTGGCGGGAAAATCACTAACTCGAGAACCGAAAAAGCTAGGAAGCAGAAATTTTAGAGGAATGTCCCCGTCCAAATACAACTTGAATGTTGCAATTCAGCCTTGAAGTTTGCTTGTTTCTCACGTATGGGCACTTAAAAGTTTCGGCGGGAATTGCTCACTGAACAGCTAGGTTATTTTTAGAGAATTACCATTAAATGGAAATTGTTTATTTACTTCATGCAGAATTTATGGTGATTTACGTAGTGAGCGCAAAAGGTAGGTGCAAAGCAACAACATTCATGCAGTTGATGACCTGAGTACTTCAAGTCCGGTGCAAAAACGCATGATGGTACCGGTAAGCCTGGTGCGTTTCTGTGTGGTTATGAAGTTTCTTCCGGTGGGTAACTTGTTTAAAAACTAAAATTGAGGGACGAAACAAATATCAGAATCGCCAACAATTTGATCACCTACAGTGCAACATTAGTCAGAGCAAGTGGAAAAGTTGACAGCTGCATCAGTGCGGGAAATTAGACTGCATTAATAGCAGTTCGTAGCACTAGATATTTACTGTTGTCATGAAATTTCAGAAATGCATGTGCAGCGTTAAATCTTATTCCTGCACACTTGAGACGTCGGAGGTGGATATGAAAATTGGGAACAGTGAATAATTCGTAATGCACAAGTGCTGTGTTAATTGAATTATTTCCAAGAAATAGGATTTTAAAACCATAAAGAAAGCAGGTGACCACTCGGAAGACTGCTTGAAGAGGTGCCGCATATACATCGAATAAGCTAGGTATTCACTGGAGCAATTTGGCCTAGGATTGAAAGGTTTGGCGTAAATGCGCTGGTATTTGGAAACTTCCAGAAGGTCTTACTAATCTTAGAACTTTGCAGTTGCGTCTTAAAATTTTCCGAAATATCTGAGTCCGAATATTTTTACTTTGATTCAGTGGCGGCATTGTGGCGCCGAGTATCGTGGTATGGATGCTAACTATACGAACGAGGGCATTGATCAGTTGTCAGCAATCATCAGTTTGATCAAAAAAGAGCCAAACAGCCGCAGAATCATCCTTAGTGCTTGGAACGTCCAAGGTTTTCTTTGGGATTTCATGAGAAACCCCATTTGTTGAAGTATTCTGCTCAACCCAATTTGTTGAAGTATTCTGTGTTGTATTTAGATCTGGGATTGATGGCTTTGCCTCCTTGTCATACACTTGCACAGTTTGCTGTACGTAATGGC